AGTCCATAATTGGAGTAAGGTTTTCATAGAAAGTAGCTTACAAGTGGTGGGTTAACGTGGTAGTTCACTGTGCGCGATCAGTCAAGTAGAGTCGAAGAGACTCCGTTTTGACCGGACCACTCCACTCGTCCGATGTAGTATTGTATAGTATTAGATACAGCCTATAGCAGTGAGAAATTTCAGGATATCATTAAGCTTAGATCCAGATATCTCACCAAGGTTAGATATGAAATAACTGCCAAGAAAACGGTTTCCAACCAACCAGCTTACAGGTGGAGGGTATTTAAGGTTCGGCATATACAATACTATATAGCACACAAAAAGAACAACGTGTAATGTATGAAGCTGTATCTTGTTATCGTTTTGTTATTGCCAAAATCAGGGATGGAGAATTGTTTGGGAAAATTGTGCAAGGATGGGAAAACTAACTAATTTCATTGAAATTTCATTTATATATGAATGTGAATAATAAATGAGACTTTATTTTATATTAAATATTTGAAACATTTCCACACTTTCATTTCACATCATTTATTCATATTAATTTCACATTTATTACACATTAAAGTTATATTTGATTTTTTCACTTTTTCTCTCTCTCACATTATTAAATATGTATGATTTACCATTTATGTTCTTTTTATTATTTCATAACAATCAAAAAATATCGAAAATTAATATGCATCACTAGGAAAAAGGAAAAAAACAGAAAAAAAAACATTGACATCAAAATGGTTTTAATTAAAAAAATATACTCTTACCACTTACAATAAAAATATATGTAGTATTAAAAAAAAAAGAAAAATTTAATATTTGTTTATTGTTTTCCATTTTATTTTTTAATTTCAACAATTCACTGCTTTTGTCCAGAGAAAGATAGAACAAAAAAAATAAGGACAACAGAATTTACATGAATAAAGATTTTGTTTTATTCATATTTGGTTTAATTTATTTTCATATTTTAACACAATATTTAAAATATAAATGAGAATATAATAAATATATGCATAAATGATGAAAACTGTAGGTTGTCTAATAACAGTGGGTGAAAGAAATCGGTGAACAAAAATGTAAATTATCAGACAAAATATTTACTTCAGTGATTAATTCTGCTTTTTAGTAGTTAAATTCACATTTTATTAGAAAAAGTTTTACGGAAAACTATAAAAATTCAATTTTTTTTGCCCTTCACTGTTTATTTATTTTATATGTGCTTGCCCACATACACGCTTGATATCCATACATATCACCAGAACAATCCCACACACACACATTAAAGCAAAACATTTTTACTATTTAAGTGTACAATTGTGTAAATTATTTTTATACATATGAATATGATGATAGCACAGTAGAAACTTTTACCAAAGGATACTTCAACTAAAAAGGACTGCGGAGTTTTAAATTGAAGAGTTTTTTTTTTAATAATATGTTTTTATATCCTAGGACCTCTCACTGTAATCATATTATTATTTATAAATATTTACTATTCATTCTTAAATGTTTTCTGAAATTGCGTTCAATTTGTCCTTAAACAATAATGCAATTAATTTAAAAATATAACACATCTGAAGTGGCAGCAATTTATGTCTATGGAGAAATATTTTTTATTTTTTTTTTTTTTTGGTTGCATTACTTCAGGCATGTACTCACTGAAAGGCAATGTGTCTGATATTTATATGATAAATTATTATGGATATTTTTTTTTAATATTTTTATTGGAATAGTGAAGGAATATCGACTTTTTATATGAACACTTTAAAGTTGTAAATGAAGATTTCAATTAAGGCAGGAAACATATGCAGGAACATACTTAAATTTTTCTGTTGAAGTAAGGCGGACACTCTCTTATAAGGCACAGTGGTTGAGGCACATGTAATGTTGGAAACATGTGTTTTAAGTAACTAAGTAACTAAGTAACTAACTAACTAACTACTACTAACTAACTAACTAACTAACTAACTAACTAACTAACTAACTAACTAACTAACTAACTAACTAACTAACTAACTAACTAACTAACTACTAACTAACTAACTAACTACTAACTACTAACTAACTAACTAACTAACTAACTAACTAACTAACTAACTAACTACTAACTAACTAACTAACTACTAACGACTACTACTAACTAACTAACTAACTAACTAACTAACTAACTAACTAACTAACTAACTACTAACTAACTAACTACTAACTAACTAACTAACTAACTAACTAACTAACTAACTAACTAACTAACTAACTAACTAACTAACTAACTAACTAACTAACTAACTAACTAACTAACTAACTAACTAACTAACTAACTAACTAACTAACTAACTAACTAACTAACTAACTAACTAACTAACTAACTAACTAACTAACTAACTAACTAACTAACTAACTAACTAACTAACTAACTAACTAACTAACTAACTACTAACTAACTAACTAACTAACTAACTAACTAACTAACTAACTAACTAACTAACTAACTAACTAACTAACTAACTAACTAACTAACTAACTAACTAACTAACTAACTAACTAACTAACTAACTAACTAACTACTAACTAACTAACTAACTAACTAACTAACTAACTAACTAACTAACTAACTAACTAACTAACTAACTAACTAACTAACTAACTAACTAACTAACTAACTAACTAACTAACTAACTAACTAACTAACTAACTAACTAACTAACTAACTAACTAACTAACTAACTAACTAACTAACTAACTAACTAACTAACTAACTAACTAACTAACTAACTAACTAACTAACTAACTAACTAACTAACTAACTAACTACTAACTAACTAACTAACTAACTAACAACTAACTAACTAACTAACTAACTAACTACTAACTACTAACTAACTAACAACTAACTAACTAACTAACTAACTAACTAACTAACTAACTAACTAACTAACTACTAACTAACTAACTACTAACTAACTAACTAACTAACTAACTAACTAACTAACTAACTAACTAACTAACTAACTAACTAACTACTAACTAACTAACTAACTAACTAACTAACTAACTAACTACTAACTAACTAACTAACTAACTAACTAACTAACTAACTAACTAACTAACTAACTAACTAACTAACTAACTAACTACTAACTAACTAACTAACTAACTAACTACTAACTAACTAACTAACTAACTAACTAACTAACTAACTAACGAACTAACTACTACTAACTAACTAACTAACTAACTAACTAACTAACTAACTAACTAACTAACTAACTAACTAACTACTACTAACTTAACTAACTAACTAACTAACTAACTAACTAACTAACTAACAACTAACTAACTACTAACTACTACTAACCTAACTAACTACTAACTACTAACTAACTAACTAACTAACTAACTACAACTAACTACTAACTAACTAACTAACTAACTAACTAACTACTAAACTAACTACTAACTAACTACTAACTAACTACTAACTAACTAACTAACTACTAACTAACTAACTAACTAACTAACTAACTATAACTAACTACTAACTAACGAACGAACTAACTAACTAACTAACTAACGAACTAACTAACTAACGAACTAACTAACTAACTAACTAACTAACTAACTAACTAACTAACTAACTAACTAACTAACTAACTAACTAACTAACTACTAACTAACTAACTAACTAACTAACTAACTAACTAACTAACTTTATGTCCTTCTTCAAGTCTGCGTTTTTAGTCCACTTATGTTTACTTTAAGTAACTCTCGGCAGGGGACCTTACTTGGTGGGCTAAGTGTGGACCGGCCTTTTATATAGTAAAATATAACAAGTAAGAATGTTACTTACATTCGACTATGCCGAATCTTACATACCCACCATCAAATCGTATGCCGTACATAGAATTATCCCCTATAAACATTTGGCTTGTAAGAAACTTACTTTTGTATATCGAATTTCATAGCTATACTTGCATTTTTAAGCCATTAATGTGAGTTAAAATCATTTTCGGAAGGGGGCCTTATATGGGTGGTAGGGTCAATTATGGACCGATTCTCATAAAATTCGGTGAAGAGATTTGTGCTTGCATGAAACCTACTTAGTGGTGATGGGCGTTAAAGTAATTTTTTGCGAGGGGACCATGTATTTGGGGTAGGGTTAATTATGGACCGATCTTTATAAAATTTTGTAGAGAGAATTTGACTCATATAAGACATATTTATGTTGTATTTCACCGCTATACTCGTATTTTTAAAACATTTATGACTCTATCGTGCTTTCAACACACAGACGGACAGACAAAGCTAGATCGTCTTTGAATTAAATAAGGACTCAGAATATATATATAGTTTTGTGGGTCTATGATCAATATTTCGATGCGTCTTTTTTATGGTGGCTAAAATAAGGATTCTGTTTGTGTCTGCAATAGTTTTTGCAGGCAATGAAAATGCAAAAAAAAGCGAAAATTATTATAAGCTAACTTCTTTATTGAAGTGCTAAAAATCGAATGACAAAATAATTTCTTTTAAAACAATACAAGAGTTAATACAAAAATTTTACATAAAATAGCCCAAAAACCGTAATGCATATATATTTACAATCAGGTAGTTAAATATGTTTAAATAATACAATCTATCATACATATATAACTATGTCTCTGAGATAGTGTACTCTGAGATATTGCATTATGAAAATATTGCACTCAGAGAATGCAAGTAAAAAGTGGAGACTTTTTATGTACGTAAGTATGTATAGTTACAAGTATGAACAAAGTAATGAGGAAAAGTAATAAACAAATTTTAAATATGTAAATATTGATATAATATTGTATGTAAATATATATGCATTACTTTTAGAAATTTATTACGGTTTTTTAAGAAACAAAACATAAGAGCAAAAAATAAGACAAATTTTATAAAGTTGACCAGGAGCGTATCTGCCATCAACATCCTCCCCCCGTTGGAAGACTACGGCTTTCAACCAATGAGTCTATTGGCAAGACTGCTACCTTTGATACAGCACGCTTCATTAATCCGTTGCTAGTTTGAACCATCACTACACGAACTACATTATCATCACCGCGTATGACGTCAGTAATACGACCTATTTGCCATTTTAAGGGCTGTTGATTTTCATCTTTCAATAAGACCATTGATCCAATAACGATATTTTCAGTTTGTTCACGCCACTTTGTGCGCTCTTGTAGTAAAGTTAGATAGGAGTTGCTCCACCTTTGCCAAAAAATCTGCTTCATTTGACAAACTCTTTGCCATCTACTCAAACGGCTTATGTCTAAATCGGTTATACTGGGTTCAACTATGGAAATTAGAGGGCCACCAATTAGAAAGTGCCCCGGTGTCAGAACCTCAAGATCATTGGGATCTTCCGAAATGGGGCATAGCGGGCGAGAATTTAAAATTGCAGATATTTCACATATTAAGGTGCGCAACTCATCAAACGTCAATTTATTGAGGCCAACTGTGCGATAGAAGTGTAATTTTGCAGACTTAACAGCCGCCTCCCACAATCCACCAAAGTGGGGCGACCTAGGAGGGATAAATGACCATTCTATTCCATCTTCAAGGCATTGCTGCTGGAGCGCTTTCTGATGTGATTGGCTGAAAAATAGCTGTTTTAACTCAGCCAGCTCATTTTTGGCTCCCACGAAATTTGTTGCGTTATCCGACCAAATTACCTTGGGTTTGCCCCTAATCGCAACAAAACGACGCAAGGCAGATAAAAACGATGACGTCGATAAATCTTGGACGACCTCCAAATGAGACGCTTTTGTCGAAAAGCATATAAAAATCGATATATAGCATTTAACTGGTGGACGATTTCTCACTCCAGTTGTATGAAAAGCATTATTTGGCCTGACTCGATCGGGTGGTAGGCATCCCATAACGTGCTGGCTCAATTTTGGCTTCAATTTATAACAACGCAAGCACTTAGAAATTATGGAGCTAATAAGTTTTCGTCCTCCAAGGGGCCAATACTGCTGACGAATTGAAGCCAACAAACATTGTGGGCCAGCATGTAACAGCTTCTGGTGATAATACATTACCAACGACTTTGTAAATGGGTGTTGTTTGGGTAGAATGACTGGATGGCGTGCATCAAAATCTAGAATTGAGTGCTGAAGTCGGCCACCGACACGAATTAAGCCAATGGAATCGATTATGGGCATCAACGAAAAAAGCTTGCTAGACGACGATCTGTTTTGATTTGCTTTTAATACTTTGTATTCAGGAGCAAAATGTGTTAGCTGAATATTTTTGATTAAAAGTTGTGTTCCATTTTTGATGTCACTTGGTGTTAAAACTGCATTTTTGCCTCTCGATTTGGAATATATAAATTTAAAAACATACGCAAATATTCGTTGCATTTTTAAAAATGAATTGTGATACTTACATTGTATCGACAAATCCGACAGCGAAACCGCTACCAATATGTTACGACGTCGTTCAGGTAGTTCAGCTAAAAACTCGACACTATCTGGCCACATTGATGATTCATGACGCAAAAAATTTGGTCCACAACTCCATAGGGTAGAATTTAACAGTTCTTCAGGCGATGCACCTCTTGATAAGATGTCAGCTGGATTTAACTTTGTAGGAACATAATGCCACGACATTTGACTAGTGAGTGTTTGTATACGAGAAACTCTATTTGAAACGAAAACGTTGAAATTTGATGGCTGCTCTCGAAGCCACGACAGCACTACCATGGAATCTGACCAACAGTGTACAACACAATCGAACGGTAAGGTATTGATAATTACATCCACGAGTTCAGCTAGAAGACACGCTGCAGAAAGCTCAAGTTTTGGTACCGTTAAACTTTTGAGGGGTGAAACTCTCGACTTAGAGCACAGCAATGATAACTTTACGACACCATCGAGTTCAGTACGAATGTATACGCAAACACCATAAGCAGCTAGGCTGGCATCACAAAATGCATGAATTTCTATTTTTGAATTTGGCGTTGAAACATAGCGAGGAAATGTGAAATAATGGATAGAATCAAATTTCGAAATATATTCGAGCCATGACAAATGTAACGATTGTGGGAGACTTTCATCCCACTGTAGTTGAAGCTTCCATAAATGCTGCATGAAGATTTTGGCCTTTGTGATGACTGGACCAATTAAACCGAGAGGGTCATATAGACGAGCAATTGATGATAAAATGGATCGTTTATTTATAACTTTACAATTATCAACAGGTGTAAACGAAAAGATGAAGTTATCACTCTTTGGATCCCAAACAAGTCCAAGTGTTTTGGTAACATCTGTTCCGTCTTTAAATTTTAAAAATTGTTCACATTGATCTGGAGGTACTTCATTCAAGACTGCAGGAACATTTGAACACCATTTCCTTATGAAAAAATTGCCAGTTTGTAGTAAAGCTGCTACCTGTTGCCTTATCTCCATAGCCTCTTCGACAGTGTCACCACCAGAAATCATGTCATCTACATAAAAGTCACGTCTTACTATTTTAGCAGCCAATGGAAATTTACCTTCTTCTTCAGTTGCGAGTTGGTGCATGGTGCGGATTGCCAAAAATGCAGCGGGCTTTGTACCGTAGGTAACAGTGTTTAATTTGTATGTCTTTATCTCCTCACTTTCATCTGCTCTCCACAGTATACATTGTAAATAGTCATCTGGGTAAGACAATCGAACACACCTGTACATTTTACAAATGTCTCCACTTAGGGCAACCTTAAAAAACCGATACCGCAATAGGGTGTTAAATAGTTTGGGCTGAATAGTTGGACCAGCGTACAAAATATCGTTGAGCGACAAACCACTTGTTGTTTTTGCAGAGCCGTCAAAAACGACCCTTAATTTTGTAGATGTGCTGTCTATTTTATGCACACAGTGATGTGGGAGAAAATATTTCTTTGGTTCGCTCTGTGGAGAAATTAACGACATGTGATTTAATGCAATGTACTCACTCATAAATTCTGCATATTGTGCTTTAATATCCGGGAGCTTTTTGAGTTTCCTTTCCAGAGTCTTAAATCGATGTAGAGCTCGGCTATACGACTCGCCAAGTGAATCCGCACCACGCCCTTCGATCTGAGGTAACCGCACAGAAAACTCGCCAGTATTAAGACGGACTGTGTTTTCCAAAAAGTGATTTTCGCAATGAATGTCTTCAATTGATAGTGGATTGATTTCAAAATTGTTTTCAACTTCCCAAAAACCTTTTATGATGGAACACAATTGATTCTCTTGCTCGAATGTATTACAACTGACAGCCAACGACCTGTAATGTTGGGTACGAAAACCACCACCAGCAACTACCCAACCTATTAATGTTTTTTGCAGCACCGGTAGATTATCAGCTAATTTGACTTGTCCAACTGACATTAAATCAAAAAACAACTCGGCACCTATTAAACCATCGATACGACCACATTTGTCAAAAGAGGGATCTGCGAGCTCTATATTTTTGGGAATATTCCATTCTGGTCTATTTCTGTTAAAATCAGGTTGGTAATCCGTTATGCTAGGGACGACCATCGCAGTTAGCGTGGTTGAATAATCTCCATGTAAAGATTTTATTACAATATCAACAGATTTATCTATAGTATAACCTCCATCGCCAATTCCAGAGATACTTGCCTGAATCCGATTGCATTTTAAACAAAGTTGATTTACGAAGCGTCTTGTGATTAGGCTGAGTTGCGATGCAGAATCTAATATAATACGACAAGGTACAAAAAATCCGAATTGATTTTTTACCATAACAATTGCAGTAGCCAGCAAAACATTCGAGGATGGCGTCTTTGTGAAATGAGGTGGGCCAGAAGAAATCAGTACTGCTTGCGAAGTAGTTGGAGCTGTTTGATCCGCCGAAGATTTTGTGGGTTCATCTGTCTTAACCTTCTCGATGTGCAACATTGTGTGGTGTTTCAAAGAACACTGTTGGCAATTACCTGAGATACAGCTGTTGAGCATATGCCCTTTTTTTAAACAATTTAGGCATAACCTCAGTCTTTTTGCTTCTTTAAAACGGAGGGAAGGGGACAAATTTCCAAAAAGTGAACATTTAGTGATGAAATGATCTTTGGAATCGCAAAATGTGCACAAAGCCGACGAAGTGGCGGTAGAGACATGAACATGACGATATTGTTGATGAAGTTTTTTGGAGCCAGGTGGGTTTGAGGACTTACTTAAAGCTGAGTTTTCTAAATTCTCAACCATACGACACCTGCGTTCTAAAAATGTTGACATTGAGTTCCAGGTTGGTAACTCATTAATTGACAAGTTCTCCTCCCATTTCATTCGAGTCTTCGTGTCCAATTTTGTTGACACTAAATAAATTAAAAGCCCGTCGGCAATTTGTTGTTGATTACCGATCGTTTGCATAGCACGTAAATGTGCATTTAATTTATCACTCAAACGACGTAAGCTAACAGCTGAACCGTTTTCAACACAATTTAAGGAAAATATCTCTTTGATGTGAGTTTGGAAATTTAATAGCTTATTGTCAAAACGATTTTTTAACAATAACAAAGCTTCCTCATAATTTGCATCGTTGAGTTCCAATGAAACTATAGTGTCGAGGGCAGCTTCGCCTAAACTTGCACGTAAATAGTGGAATTTTTCTAGTTTGCTTAAATCATTGTTGTTATGTATAACGGTCTTGAATAACGAAAAGAAATTTGGCCATTCCGAATAAGCACCAACGAATTTTGGTAATTGAATTTCGGGAACTTTTGTTTTACGAAGCGATGTTTGAGAATATGGCGACTCATCGAGCGAAAATTGGCGCAATGTTGAACTACGCGGGTTTGAATCAAACTTACGAGTGGCATTGAGTTGGCGAGTTAACTTAGATTTAACATCAAGGTACAACGAGACGAAACACATGCGATCAGTACCATCCAACTCGCTGATTTCATTTTCTTCGATGATACTTTGTGCCATTTCATAGCTTTTATTAACCTCCTCGATGTAGCTCAAGCGAACGGACAGCTCCGCGTCATCATACTCCTTTAGCTGAGATGGGGTTAAAGTTTGGTTCAAATTCTCTAGCTGCTTTATCATTGCAGTAGCTTTTGTTTTAAAGGGCAATAAGTTCTGCGAATGTTCTGCTTCCTCGATGTCGGCAGATTTTTCAGGTTGATTCGTTGACATGGCGAACAAAATGTATATCGTCTATGGAGTAACAAGAACGCAACACAGATCTAACGAAAACGACACGACGAATTCACAAAGATGGACTACAATAAAATAATTAATATCCGAATTGATATTAATTAACAATATCCGAATTGATATACAATAATAAAACCGATCACGTCGGGGTCACCAATGTTTGTGTCTGCAATAGTTTTTGCAGGCAATGAAAATGCAAAAAAAAGCGAAAATTATTATAAGCTAACTTCTTTATTGAAGTGCTAAAAATCGAATGACAAAATAATTTCTTTTAAAACAATACAAGAGTTAATACAAAAATTTTACATAAAATAGCCCAAAAACCGTAATGCATATATATTTACAATCAGGTAGTTAAATATGTTTAAATAATACAATCTATCATACATATATAACTATGTCTCTGAGATAGTGTACTCTGAGATATTGCATTATGAAAATATTGCACTCAGAGAATGCAAGTAAAAAGTGGAGACTTTTTATGTACGTAAGTATGTATAGTTACAAGTATGAACAAAGTAATGAGGAAAAGTAATAAACAAATTTTAAATATGTAAATATTGATATAATATTGTATGTAAATATATATGCATTACTTTTAGAAATTTATTACGGTTTTTTAAGAAACAAAACATAAGAGCAAAAAATAAGACAAATTTTATAAAGTTGACCAGGAGCGTATCTGCCATCAACAGATTCATAAAATGTATTTTTATATTAGGTAATAACTATTTTTGGGCGGTCAAATACCACAGCGCTACAGTATTACCAATAATGTTCTGATAATGAAAACATATTTGTTAAGTCAATTTGGTGAAAAAACTTCCGCCTCTAAAAGCAATTTCTAAAATGCTTTTATTCGTTATTTTTAATAAAGTTACTTTATACATTTTCGAATAAAGTTATACTATCATCTACAACATGCGTTGTTATCGCGATTTATTGAAAAAAAAACTTGCAAAATTGTTAAGCAAAGTTTTAATTATGATCATTTAGAAAACCCGATTTTTATACAAAAAATCATCGCATTTGAGGCGGGAACATTCTTCACAATCAAGAAATAGACCTTGCTATAATCCTAACGTACACACATACATATGTAGGCCTTTGTGATGCCTCCTGTAGGTTAGTTGTTTGTGTTTTAGTCTGTGAGTCTAGAGGTTGTGAATTTGATTTCTATCAGATAAAAAAGAGAACAACAGATCTTTCGATCTGATGTATCGTAAATCCAGCTTTCAAACTGTACAATTTATTTTACTTTTGTGGGTCTGTGACAAATATTTCTAAATATTGTAATGTAACTCATTTGACGAATAATCTTATGAATAAAACTTAACTTAAACTTAACATGCCATTTCTTTAAACTATATTTAATCGATAATATAAATATTTTAAACATTTTTATTGCCACTAAAGGTTAAAGACATTTGTCTCACCATATAAAATTGCCATAAATTTTTCAACAATTTGCTTGCAGTCATATGTCAATTAAAACTGTCAAAGTCTTAAATGATTAGAAACTTTTTTATAACAGTAATATCGGTATCAATATTCTTCAAGACACTTGGAAAAGTTAACAAATGCTACTTGTATAAAGATACAATAAATACAATAAAACAGACAAAAAGTTTTTAACAGCAAAGAGGTAAATAAGAACCTCATTCATACGAGGATTGCACAATGGGTATTTAAGCGAAAAAGTGTTGTAAGGGTTTTAGAGGTTTTAATTAAAAGTGGTTGAAATTAAAAGAATTTTCTGATATTGAGCCTATACAATTTCTCGCAGAAGGGGTTTAACTTAACTTCAGTTAAAATGAAAACGGAATATTTAGTTGACCTTGTGCTATTAATAGAAAATAACATAATAATTTTCAATTAATAATAACATTTCCCTATACAAATATTGCTGTTCAACTAAATATGCCTAAAACTATTACTGAACTTTGTAATATGTATTCATTCTTACTAAAATAAACCATTAATTTTTCTTGAATATTATTCAAAGTCTTTACTTGACAATTTGACAGGAAAAAAGAAAAAATATATTTAATAGACAATCAATTACCTAAAACTTATAATGACGCTTTACTAAAATACTCCTGTATTAATATTTATTACAAGTATTTTAACTATTCAACCATGTCAAATTAATTTCATTCACTATTTTGAAAGTTTAATTAGCAACTAAATTGAAACATTGTTTTTTTTTTGCCAAAGTTTTCTTGACACAAAACTAAGTGGCAAGTAAATTCAATGTCAAGTACAATTATTGGGTGGAAAAAGTGATAAGAGTAACGAAGAACTTTTACTAGGGTTAAATTAGAATAAATAACAACTGTAAGCTATTAGGTGAGGGTAAAATTTGAATAGCATTAATGGGGGGTTAACATGTGTAACAAAAGTGTTAACTACTTTTGAAAATATGTTTATATATGTCTAGTCTATAGTCTAGTCTACAGTCTAGTCTACAGTCTAGTCTACAGTCTAGTCTACCGTCTAGTCTATAGTCTAGTCTATAGTCTAGTCTATAGTCCTAGTCTATAGTCTAGTTATATTCCTAAGTCTAGTAGTCTAGTCTATAGTTAGTCTAGTCGTAGTCTATAGTCTAGTCTATAGTCTAGTCTATAGTCCTAGTCTATAGTCCTAGTCTATAGTCTAGTCTATAGTCTAGTCTATAGTCTAGTCTATAGTCTAGATCTATAGTCCTAGTCTAAGTCTGTCTATAGTCTAGTCTATAGTCTAGTCTATAGTCTAGTCCTATAGTCTAGTCTATAGTCTAGTCTATAGTCTAGTCTATAGTCCTAGTCTATAGTCTAGTCTATAGGTCTAGTCTATAGTCCCTTAGTCTAGTCTATAGTCTAGTCTATAGTCTAGTCCTATAGTCTAGTCTATAGTCTAGTCTATAGTCTAGTCTATAGTCTAGTCCTTAAGTAGTCATAGTCTATAGTCTAGTCTATAGTCTAGTCTATAGTCTAGTCTATAGTCTAGTCTATAGTCTAGTCTATAGTCTAGTCTATAGTCTAGTCTATAGTCTAGTCATAGTCTAGTCTATAGTCTAGTCTATAGTCTAGTCTATAGTCTAGTCTCTAGTCTAGTCTATAGTCTAGTCTATAGTCTAGTCTATAGTCTAGTCTATAGTCTAGTCTATAGTCTAGTCTATAGTCTAGTCTATAGTCTAGTCTATAGTCTAGTCTATAGTCTAGTCTATAGTCTCGTCTATAGTCTCGTCTATAGTCTAGTCTATAGTCTAGTCTATAGTCTAGTCTATAGTCCAGTCTATAGTCTAGTCTATAGTCTAGTCTATAGTCTAGTCTATAGTCTAGTCTATAGTCTAGTCTATAGTATAGTCTATAGTCTAGTCTATAGTCTAGTCTATAGTCTAGTCTATAGTCTAGTCTATAGTCTAGTCTATAGTATAGTCTATAGTATAGTCTATAGTCTAGTCTATAGTCTAGTCTATAGTCTAGTCTATAGTCTAGTCTATAGTCTAGTCTATAATCTAGTCTATAGTCTAGTCTATAGTCTAGTCTATAGTCTAGTCTATAGTCTAGTCTATAGTCTAGTCTATAGTCTAGTCTAGTCTAGTCTATAGTCTAGTCTATAGTCTAGTCTATAGTCTAGTCTATAGTCTAGTCTATAGTCTAGTCTATAGTCTAGTCTATAGTCTAGTCTATAGTCTAGTCTATAGTCTAGTCTATAGTCTAGTCTATAGTCTAGTCTATAGTCTAGTCTATAGTCTAGTCTATAGTCTAGTCTATAGTCTAGTCTATAGTCTAGTCTATAGTCTAGTCTATATTCTAGTCTATAGTCTAGTCTATAGTCTAGTCTATAGTCTAGTCTATAGTCTAGTCTATAGTCTAGTCTATAGTCTAGTCTATAGTCTAGTCTATAGTCTAGTCTATAGTCTAGTCTATAGTCTAGTCTATAGTCTAGTCTATAGTCTAGTCTATAGTCTAGTCTATAGTCTAGTCTATAGTCTAGTCTATAGTCTAGTCTATAGTCTAGTCTATAGTCTAGTCTATAGTCTAGTCTATAGTCTAGTCTATAGTCTAGTCTATAGTCTAGTCTATAGTCTAGTCTATAGTCTAGTCTATAGTCTAGTCTATAGTCTAGTCTATAGTCTAGTCTATAGTCTAGTCTATAGTCTAGTCTATAGTCTAGTCTATAGTCTAGTCTATAGTCTAGTCTATAGTCTAGTATATAGTCTAGTCTATAGTCTAGTTTATAGTCTAGTCTATAGTCTAGTCTATAGTCTAGTCTATAGTCTAGTCTATAGTCTAGTCTAGTCTATAGTCTAGTCTATAGTCTATAGTCTAGTCTATAGTCTAGTCTATAGTCCAGTCTATAGTATAGTCTATAGTCTATTCTATAATCTAGTCTATAGTCAAGTCTATAGTCTAGTCTATAGTCTAGTCTATAGTCTAGTCTATAGTCTAGTCTATAGTCTAGTCTAGTCTAGTCTTTAGTCTATAGTATAGTCTATAGTGTAGTCCTCGACACTTTACATATAATTGGTGTAGGGTATCATACAATCGATCTTAAGGTCTAAATATATCATCTTATTTGTTTTTCTCTACAAACTAGCTATTACACGAAAATGAAGCTTAACTTATATTAACACAAAACATGATTTTTTCCCCTACCCAATACTTAACACTTAATAAATTGTGTTTTTCTATTCCAAAATACCAAAAAGGAAAAAAATAAGATTAATTGCTAAAATTGATTAGAATTCGAGTAAAAGTATGTGTGAATGTTTAATTGTATCAACAACAAATTACAAAAAGTGGTAAATGACGAAAACAATATTTAGCACACCCCGCACACACAAAAAAGCGGTGGTCGACGCGCAAAGCGAAATGTATTTTTAAGACACCAAACTTACCGATAAACAATTGTGGTATTTGTTTTTTGAGTATTTTGTTCAACTTTCAATTCGTTTAGTTTTCTTTTATTTTTTTATTATTATTAATTTTGTT